AACCAGCTGCAAAGAATGTTTGGGTCTGACTTCTATACAAAGAGAACCTGGAAGCCCTCACCAAAAACTGTGACTTATAACATCAAGACGGGGAGCACTACAAGATGGACAAAGAGGCAGAAACTTATTTGCCCTGCTGCTGATGAAACAAAGTACAAAAGGGGGAGCATGTGTGCTAACATGTGAACTTTAATCAATGACGGTGGTCATCCTGGACTTACAAAGAGAGGCTCAAAAGAGACTGTTTCCTATGGTTACACCCAGTAAAAGAGTGCTTGCTGCAGTCAGGTAATGAACAAGGCTTTTTGGCAACAACCAGTTGAATTGATGAAATGTCAGAACTGTGGAAAATTTACTAAACTACTGTAGAACATAGTTAACTGAGAAAGTTAGCCTAAAAAAAAAAAAAAAAGATAATAATAATATCAATAAATAAATAAATAATAGGATTAGTAACCTGGATTTCAGCCCAACTCACCATTGGACGTCAATATAATCTTTATTGTCCTAGGATTCTCAGCTGCAGCGGACATGCAGTAAAGCCTTATTTTCTTTTCAAAACGGAATACATCAGCGTCATCACTTATTTTCATTGGTTAAGGAAACGGTGTCTATTTATAAGTCTAGGAGAACGCTTTAGGCTTCAACAGTTCTCTCCTTCGAGCAAACATGCGCAAATTTCCGGATAGTTTATAGTAACGTTCCATCCCATTCCATTCATTGCATAAAAATAAACATTAAATGAATAATTTGGCATCCAGCTGACTAAATGATTCATGGAACATCTCATCCGAGACAACAGTGTTGTTTCAGCTCCGTTGAGTTTCCCAACAGATCTAGCCAAACCTAGCTGATCCTATATTTTTCTATCAGCTGTAAGTTCTAACGTAGAAAATAATGTCACAAAAATATTGAATAATTGTACCCCTCATTCGATAAAAATTATGTTCACATTTTTATCTTGTGAAATCTTTAACATAATATTTTTAAATGGCCTTTTTGACGACAATTGGCTAAAAAGTCTTTAAGATTATCATCACAGGATGGCATGATAAATAAGTAAATAACATAAATAAATAAATAGACAAAAATAAGAGAGAAAAAGCAAAATTAATTAAATGAAACGTAATAGTGATAAAACGTTAAATTGATCTAAAATCTGTCATTCAGCGCCACTGGAAAAAGGAAGAGGATAGGGGAGTATTTCTTAGCACAAATCACGTTATTGATTTAGCAATGCAGCTTAATTTCAGATGCTTTAAGGATGATACTAACTTGTGTTATAGATGGAGGAGTAGCACAGAAACACTTCTAGATGAGGAGATAAGGAAAAAAACTGCTGATTACCAATACTATGCACAAACAAACCTGTAACTGCAGTTTCGTTATTTATGAATTAACCTTAAGTAGTGAATTAATTCTTAGGATTTCTTGTGCGAGTAGTGTTCCTAAAAAAGAAAGAAAGAAAGAAAGAAAGAAGGTAAGAAAGACAGGTAGTTTAGGTAAGGGACAACCTGAAACTTTTTGGTTGAATTGATAGTAAAGTGATTGTCCTAATTTCTAATTGGAGAGATCACATCGCAACGTGAGTTTAGAACAGCAGTTATGGGAAGTTTTGTTGGATTAATTTGATTACACGCTTTAGGTCTTATTTTTTCTTTCCACTGATTTAGCGTTAGGTTAAGTATTTCACACTTTCGCTTCAGTCTGACATTTGCTTGGTGTGTGAGGGCACAGAGACGTGTATGGACCGTGTGTTTGACTGTGTTTGTCTTGTTTGTTTGCTTATTTATCTATATGGGCATGGCCGAGCCTTGAGAAACATCAACAAAGACATTGGACTATTCTGAGTAGATTAACCAATTCAAATTCAAATTCAGGATCCTGAAACAATTTGGTTATAACCTCTAATTGATGAAGGACATCTTAAGAATTCATTGTACAAGGCATCATCTCCAGTGTTGCTGGAACTGTTATAAAACCCATGCATGGTTGTATATTTTAGTTTGATCATTTATACTCATTGAATTATTGTTGTTTGCTTTATGTTTTAATTTCTTTGCAATTTTTTCTCTGTGACACAGGTGGAGATGCTGGTGGCAAAATGGATCCCACACATTTCTTTCTCCCACACACATTCTTACTCTCTCCCTCTCTCTCTGTGTATGTGCATGTGTATGTGTTTGTGTGTCTGTGTGTCCATGTCGTGATGTCACTGTACCTTTAATTGCGCTTGCTGTTCGTAACTGTATGTGTCTGATGTTGAAGGTATCAGAGGCTAGGGTCAGTAAGAGCTAGGACATTTTTGTGCATAACCTCTAATCCCTAGGCGATCGGTCCGGGGAACTTCTGGTCCGGCCGGAGTGTGAATCCTCCTACCAACTATCTGCCGAGATCAAGGACTGCACAAGCCGAGAAAGCCTTCATTGGACCAAAACTACACACACGAAGAGGCTTCATCTTCGGTGCCAGGCGTCTGGGTCCTGCTAAAAGTCACCAAAAGGAAGTGGACGGAACCGAGGTGGACCGAGCCATACAGGATCACGGAGAGGACGTCACACGCTGTCCGGCTGGACGGGAGGAGCCTAACCTGGAAGAGAAGCAGCTGACATCTGCCTAACCAGAGAAAGGATCCAAAAAACCAGGAAGAGAAGTAGCTGACTACAGTAGCATGCCAAGCTGCCACCACATCCTGCAGGACGAGAATCTTGACATCATCACCCCCTGCAGCTGCCTGGAGCCAGTGAAGGGTCCTCAACAGGGGGAAGAAGTAACCACCCTATGAACATTCTACAAGGGTTGTATTTAACACCCTCATTTATTTTAACAAGGGTAATATTTTACACCCTCCACCTGCTGACCCAATTATCCAGATGCCCTTGTTACTAGCCAATCCTAACATCTATTTGGGAGGGGAACTCTCTGATGATAGTGATGACTCTCATGATGAAGAAGATGTTGTTAGAGTGTGAGAATGTTCAGTGATTTATGTAACCATCCCTTCACCAGTTCATTTTTATGATTTTTTTGTTTGTTTTGTTTTATTTTTTGTTGATCATTGATGTCCTAGGCATGCACACTCTATGCCAACAGCTGTTCGCCCCAAAATTGAGATATGACAAATGGGGGGACATGGGGGAATTTTCCCTATAAACATATGATAATTAGGGTTTTTCGCCCTCATATGGAGTTGCATGCGATCCATACATGTTGTAACATGTTCTGTTGAAAGTATGATCATGTTTTTTGTATTAGTTTACTGCTAGAAAGATGAGTAAATGTAATCTGATTGGTTGTTTGTATTGGTATTTTAAAACTTTGCTTATTGGATTCTTTTTGATGGAATTTGGTGTTATTGTTTTGATTTCTTATATCTTTATTGAACTCTTAAAAGAGTTCAAAAGGGGGATTGAAAATATATATCTCTCATATAAGCTCTTTCATATATTATTATAAGCTCTTTTATATGATTAAATATGTATCTCTCACTTTTGCCCCTTATATATTATCATAAATACATTATTATATGCCTTTTCATGGAATCTTGTTATAATATCAAAGACCTCTCTGTGCCTTTTCTGCTCAAGCTGAACAGCTGCATAAGGGAGTGAAAGCGTTCCTTCCTTCAGTTCCTCAATACAAGAACAACTGTCTTTGTTAGCAAAGGATGTTGCAGGATGTGTCCTGATCATCTCAAGGTTGCATGTCCTTGGGATGAATTGGTCTTTCATTAACAAGGCTATTAGCTGACGTGCGTCTGCAGGTGCAGATGGCAGAATTACGTGTGTGTATGGCAAACTACGTATGTAACATTCCTGTAATCTTCAATAAAAATCAGCCGTTTTCAGCAGAACGGCGAGAGTCTGTCCGAAGCATCTGGCAAGAGCAGGTCGCGGGACTTGCTGCAGAGACTCTCCCCCTCATGAGCGGCGAAACAGTGAATGGACTTCTGATCATTTGTCTCCTCGTTCTGACAACTTTAAAGGTGTTTAACTCCATCTACTCCGTACCCGTGCTTGGTCTAACGGAAGAGAGACCAACAGGATCCTTCCCACTGTTGGGGCCGAGCAGAACAATACACATGTTTGTCTGTTCCAAAGATTACTATGAGCTCCCCTGATGGCTTTCCTCACTGCAGCACCCCACGCCACCACACAGACAAGCAGAACATGGGAGTACTGGTTCATAATAAACAGCTACACACCGGCTCCGGTCCCTTCTGTCTCCCCTTCCTATCCTCCCTCGCCTTGCCCTGTTCGGGGATCCCTGGAAGTGGATTAAATACAACCACACCTGTGATCATTCCTCATTTGTGAAGCCTCCAGCATCAGTGGTCTAAAGGGACACCAGGCACAAGCTGAGAGCTGTGCAGCTGTGAATTGCTGTTTTCCTGGCTTGTAAAGTGATTTAAGACACACATAGTTTAGATGTTGGAGTGCATCATACTTATGTCACATAAACAGCAAGGTAGGTGCACAACTGAGCTCAATTAGATATGAGACACAGTTTTCTTCTCCTAAACTGTCTGCAGCTTAAATTCTCTCGGGAATCGAATCATTCATCTGTTTTCAAATATATATACACCTCTGCTGTGTGTGGAAAAAGAATAAAATCAATCAATCAATCAATCAAAGCTTTATTTATATAGCGCCTTCCGCAACCCTGTCGGGTAGCCCGAGGCGCTGAACATAGTACATGACAAAGTTAAATACGGTGAATAAATCGAAAATAAAAGCAGTTCAAATTACAAATTACAAAAAAAGGTAAAACATTCTAGTAGAAGACAAATGGGTAAAACAAGGGATAGAGCGAACCAATGAAAACAGGGAAATAAAATCAACATTAAAGATGGCCAAATTCAAACACGATGCTTTTATAGCTTCTGCTTTGTGTTGATTAAACAAGACTCAAAAAATTTTCTTTGAATTTCCAAAATGACATTTCCCTGTGAAACAGTTTCTCTTACCAATAACTTTTGCAGGTTTAAGATTCACACTTACCTGAAGGGTGGGGTGACCTTTGTCCATATCCCCCCATGTTAAAATCCACACCTGGTCATGAGATTTATCATACAGCATCTTCACCGGGAATGGATCTGTTGCAACAGCCTGGAGTACACAGAGAGTGGAAGGATTATCTCTATGTATAAATTAGGCTCATGATGGTAACGAAGCACACAAACTTTTGGGTATATATGCTGGAATATTTATTTATTAGCCATCTTTTTACTTCTGCTCTCTACATGTTCATGCAACTATCTTTACTTTCTATTCCTTAAATTATAAAAATAGTCTCATTACACCTGTTTGGTTTTGGTTTGTTATTGCTAAAAATAAAAGTTTCACCCGAGTAAATTTCATTGGGGGTTGGATAATTTTAACACTGTTGGCTTGAACCATACTTATGATCCTTTAATATTTGTATTGCACTAAAATCAATTTATAACGAACAAATATGTGGCTGAAACAGGTAGCCTAGAGTCAACATTAACATTTTTAATAACGTTAACATCATTATTCCCTTTAACGTTGGGTAGATGTTATAGTGCTGTGGCACAGCTTGACCTTTTGTCCTAATTACATAGTTTTTCACTTGCTTTACTTTTACTTTCATACTTTTGAAAACAACTTCATTAATTGCACCTAATTGTAGAAATCTTTTAAAATCATAGTAACTATACATCTAGATTAGTAATTTATCTGTAAGGGTTTGACACCTCTGGTCATCATAGTCTTAAAAAGAGTCAAATGAAAGTGTTCAAACATAAATCCTAAGATATTGTCTGATGTTGAAAATGTGTGGCCAAAGGGCTTTGGGGAACGATGCAAGGAATGGGATGATCGACTGCAGTCAGACATCATACGGTTTTACAGTTTCTGTAATTACGAGATGGTTTCAAAACAAAGACTTCTGGTATGTTGGATCAGGAATAAAACTGAGAAGCATTCAGATATTAATGTAGAATGTAACTGGCTAAAAATACAAGATTAAACAATTTTTGAAGTGACAATGTTTAACTTCTAATAAAGTAGAACGTTTTGTTTTTTGGGTTAAACTACAGCCTAATCTTTGTAAGGAAAAACAATCGCAAGGCTGGGAACTTTTTAGGGTCTAGGGAGAGGACTAGTCTGGGCTTCCCTGGCTTCTGCCCCTGCAGGGAATAAAAGGATAAAGAGGTTAAAAGAAATCCATTCTGACTTTTTACATTTTATCTCAATTTCCAAGTAGAATCAACTACACATTTAACAAATACTAAGAGTTCAGCTGCGGTTACTAAAATGACAGCATTTGTACAATTGTTTGACTCCACATTTGGATATATTGAGAATAAAGCACCCTCTCTATTTCAACAACCATTTGTTTTGATCATTAGTGAAGACTAATAACTGGAAAATACTCTGGGTATATTGATAACGTCTGATGTTGCAGGACTCCATCAGATTAAACACCATTAAACCAGAATATTCTACACATGAAATGTGAATAACAGGCCTCTGTGCTCCACATAATACATTTTAATCCCTGACTAACCAACAGAGCTATGCTTGCATCATGAAAACACTGGAATGGAAGTGTGCTGTATTCTGTAGCCTGCATTTCCACCTTGTTGCTGTTGGACAGTTAACGAAGCTATCTCACACACATTGGGTGAGAAACATCAAGAATAGACAATAATCTATACATGTTAGAAGAAGCAAAGGAAGGAAATAACAGTGGGAAGGAAAAGCATGAGATAGGAGAGGTGGGGAATAAACTCCACCTCAGATCTGCTGCAATGTCAACAACCAGGAATAACACAATCCATTACCCTGCTTCTGGCTGAGCAGACGGGGAACTGCTGACACTCACCATTGAAGCGAGACCACAAGCTCTGCTGTCAGTAATGGGAGGTGCAGGCCTCTGCTCTGCACTGGTCAGCCAAGTGTCAACTCAGCATGTGCCCATGTACGGTGTGAGGAGAAGGTGTACTCTGTGTGTGTGTGTGTGTGTGTGTGTGTGTGTGTGTGTGTGTGTGCGTGTGTGTGTGTGTGTGTGTGTGTGTGTGCATTTTCTGCATGATTGAAGAAGAGGTAAAGTGGAGGCCAGGCCCTCGATGCTGCAGCCTGGAAGCTAATTGACCTAAAAGTCCAAAATAATGAAAATGTTATAGGATTTGAATATTTGTATGGAAGGTGGAACAAATAAGTAGTTTTTTATTTTTTATACACAATATAGCAACACTAGAGTTATTAACACTTTAAGCTAGTGCTTTCAAACTGGTTTCAGTTCAGTTTTTAAGCCAGAAACTTGAGTAGCTTCACACTGGACAGCTCTCTGAGCATCATCTGCTGGCAGGAGAGAGGAAAACAGACGAGTCATCTGACACCACAGTGCACATGTGTTCAGCCATGTTGGACTTCTGTTTACTAAATGTGGCCACGCATTGGTCTAAACCAATCACGTGACAGCTGCTTTACAACTTTCTCATTACGCAGCTCAAGACGAACTAGTCCCACCTAGACATTTGAAAACGCTTGAAATAAAAAAATTAGAAATCAAGAATTTTTCCTATTAGGCTTGGTCATCGTGATGTTTTAAGATACCATGTCTGCTAGAATTATAAAGTGCAGAAAAGAGAACATTTAGCTCTGAAGTCATTTTTTTTATTCTTTCTATGAAACCATAAAAGCAGAAGTAACCTTTAAGAGTTTTTCTCTAAATGTGACGCTTTTTTCTAACACGTCTGAATGCAGTGGCTACCTTTATTACCAAAGTGAAATAAAATAGACTAAATCACACTTGACATAGAAAGAGTAACCTGAGGTGAACTGATTCAGTAGAACAGAAGAGCTTCAGGTGGCATTGGCAGTTCTAAGTAGAGAGATGTCATAATAATAGATGCAGTTTTTGTGTCGGATGAGCTCCTAGAGGTCACCTGAGAATATTTGGTGCTAAAACAGAAATAAAAATGCAAATGCATAACACCAAGGATTGCTTTTATCCTTACAGAAGTTGTCATATCTTTAAACTGCATCAACAAATGGGTTCTTGGGCTTTGAAAAGAAAAAAAAAGGAAATCTTAAATGAAAACTGCAGAGTTTAGATTACTAATCGTCATCTACCTCCAGAGCAACACCCGGTGACAGTTAAACACAGGTTGTTGCCATCCGGATTTATTTATTTTCAGCTGGTTCACCATGTTTTAGTCCAGTGGGAGCCTTTCTGGCAAAGAACTGAAACCAAAAATACAAAGTTGGATCTCTCTGCTGGGAAAATTTAAATTTTCTAGTTTCTGCATGGAAACGAAAAGGAGAACAATACAACTTAGCAACCTTTATATTATCTAGAGTTTTTAGGAAGTCTGAATACATTTGTAAAGGTAAAATATTCATGTAAATAAATGCAAGAGTAAAAAGTACATACTTTAGTCATTTTCAGCTTTAAAACTACTTCCGCACTCTCCCAGTGTTTGCAATCAACTAGTTATAAGGATATTTACCACAAGTGCAACAACGTTATACGTTTCATCTTTACTGTGAAAAGCTGCAGTCTGAACGTGTGGTCTGTGTCGATTTCCTGCTTTCAGAAACTACTTTGAAAGAAATTACAAATGTTCTTTGTTGGAGAAGGGGGCTTGGAGACAATGGAGGAGGAGGAGAAAAATAAAGCTGAAGAATGGAAGATGCATTAACCTCCTGCACCCAGAGGCCAGTGAGGAGGGGGGCAGAATCCCGGTGAAAGGGCAATAAAGGATGAGAAAGTGGTTTTACAGTCTTTGATGGAGTAAGAAAGGAAGAGGGAGCAGCTGGTGGGTCGCTGTATGTCAAAGCTAATAACTGTGTGTGTGTTGGGAAAACATCTTACTGTACACATGTGCCACAGCATGCCTCTTAACCAGGGGTAGACCGATATATCGGGCCGATATTTGTCCTTGGTTTTAAAGTCAGGCACATCTTCATGCAGGCCGGTGCTGCTGAAGAACTTAATTTAAATGTAGTTTTACGTTCACTAATAATGTCTTCATGATAAATACTCTAAATTCACTTTATTTAGGTGTCTGACTTTAACACTGATCAGTGCACAAAGTTAAGATTTAACAGTTAGTTGAATTCAGAGTTCAAAAACTGATTCAGCTTTAGACATTTTGTGCATTAACCAACGTTTTTAGGGACATTTTAGCATAAAAAAGGTGCAAAATATCTAGATATCGGCCATGTATATTGGCCCATAAAAATTAGCAGTACATCGGCTGACTGTCTCCTACATATCTGCATCGGTCGACCTCTACTCTTAACTAAACTTCATCCTAAATCTTTAGTTGTAAGGAAAATATTCTCTATTTCTTTAATAAAAGTTTGTTAAACAAACTCGATTTAATTTGTTTTTCCAAGGGTCTTAGTTTGGGCTCTTTATTTTGATCTTTGATTATAATTCCAAATAAAGCCTAGCTGACACAAGGGTGAGAAAAATCAACAAAACCATCCTAAAACATCCAAATGAAAAGATAAGAGATGTTTATGAAAATGCCCCCAAAGAGAACAACATTAGAACCAAAAACACAAAAACCCCTCAGTTGTGACACATAAAGAGCTAAACTAAATGCAAATACTTAGAGGAAACATGAACGCTTTCCCGAGTGACTGTGAAAAAGACTTTCTGGTGTTTCTGTATCTGTCTTAGTCGGGGAGTCATAACCTTCTAGAAGGACGAGTGGAGGGTCTTTTACATGTCTGCACCCAGAGGCCTCTTGTTTCATAATCCCTCCATGCATTAGGTCCTATTTTCTTGCCTGGATAACAAGGTCATTTAACAGGTTTATAATGACATCTCTGCTCTGTGACCCGCACAGTGGGCCGTCTCTCTTCCTTCCTTTGTCACATCGGCTTTATACCTGCGTTCTTCTTGAATCAGGCCCATTTCCCCTCATCCACCACCTTAGTATAAATGATGCTGACCCTGGAACAGACCCTGAGGGATCCAGTCTCTAAATAGCCGTTACAGGCAAGATAAATGGCAAGGCAGCCAGCACCCACCTGAGCGCCATATTGTTTCTAACGCTTCAGGTACTTTTGATTTATTTTACCTTGCAGATGGTCTTTTAGACAAGATGTAAACACTTGATGCAAACGTGTTTTTCTTTTCTAAACTTTAACGAAGAACAGGCTGGATATTTAGGTTGAACTATACTGGGTTACATGTCAATTTAGGATAAATTTAATTATAAGTTCACAAATTTTTGCTGACGACTCATTTAGAGAGAAACAGTCATAATTCTTGGCAAAATAGAATCATAGAATTGTTTTAAAGCACACCGTTATGGAGGTGAACGTGCATTTTGAGAGCAGTGACGAGCTGCACATACAATACTGAGCCACCTCATGGTGGCAATGTGGATTTGATAAAAGATTTTGTTTTATACAGATTCTATTGAGCTGTACTCAACTTTTCCCAAATGTAAATAAAAATAAAGAAGATAAAAAACAAAATAACCCACCTGAACCACCTTCTGGGCTTGAATATCGACAACCAGCAGCCGGCTCTGTAGGGGCTGCGTCACGTAGATGTACTTGTCTCTGACGTTGACGGCTGAGGACCACACGCAGCGCTGAGGTGAAATCCCCTCACCTTTAGGGCACATCTCCTCCTGAGAAATAAAGCCAAGATGGAATAAAAGAGGGGGATGGAAGGAGAGAATTGGCAGGAGTTAGCAAAGTGATGTGGCATTGTTATGATGCACAGATGTAACTTTGAATCACAGAATCTTTCTCATTTCACCGAACCAAAGAAACTTCTGTTTGAATCTAAAAAATAATTACCCATGTGTACTTTCATGTTTTTGTTTAGAAAATGAATTTTCACTCGCAGAGTTTCAGTTCCCTCAAGTAGAAACTGATTAATAATTCTGCAACTGGTTGAAATAAAGTGACACCTCTGCAGACCCTGCAGCTCCTTGCCTTTGCTGACATGTTCTTAATTACACACACACACACACACACACACACACACACACACACACACACACACACACACACACACACACACACACACACACACACACACACCTTTATTTTTCTTGTAGGGACCCACCATCAATGTAATATAAACTCTACTACCTAACTCAAACCTTTAGTACCTAACGGTTAACCCCGACCTAATCTAATTCTAACATTAACCCCATAGCCAACTTAACTCTCAATCGCTCCTCTGAACTTGTGGCTTCTAGTGTTTGAGCTCCAACTAACAAAAGCAAGACCTCACACAAGTATTTCCACATCTTTCCCACTTCACCGAACTGAAGAAACTGCTGTTTAAAGCAGGAACTGACTAACACATGGCTTATTGAGTTTGTATTGATCTCTAATATAATTACAGTCTCTTGAAAAATCCAAATCCCTTTGGAACAAGCATCTAAAGCCCCTTACTCTGAGAGATGGATGTTATCCAGTGGATTCAAAAAAGCCCTAGGCCCATGTTATAGACCCTGAACACTATATTGGGAGTTGTTGACTAATGGACAGAAGTAATCTCATTACATTTAGCAAGACGCAGAGTCGCATTGTGACAGAGGGGGGTGGAGGATAAGTCTGGGAGCGAAATGGAGAACTGAGTAGTGAGAATATTCAGGGATTTTAAGCAGAACACCTTAAAAGTACACAATGTAAGAATTAAGAATGACAACCTGTGGCCAAATTTGGTTACTGCAGTCTATTTTCAAAGTATGGGAGTAACCAGCTCAGTGACCTATTGGTAGAGTATCCACCCTGGGACTGGGAGATCATGTTCAAATCCCGGTCGGGTCAAACCAAAGACTTTAAACATGGGACCCAATGCCTCCCTTCTTGCCACTCAGCTGTAAGGGGTTGCATTGGGGTGTTAATTCACCGGATAGTTTCCGAGCGCCACCATAGCTGCAGCTCACCGCTCCCCATAGGGATGGGTCAAATGTGGAGGACAATTTTCATCACACACCAGTGTGTGTGACAACTTTGGGAGTTTATCCCACTCTGCAAGTTTCATGGTCGGTTGCCAGTTAGGGATCCCCACCAGAAGATTCCTGGTGACAATTCTAGGTTATTGGTAATTGAAAAATTAGCTTGACATATTTTTTTTTTTTTTTTTCTAAAAAAAAAAAAAAAAAAAGCTTGACATATTTTTAAAGCCACCAGTTTTTTCTAGTTCACCATTAGCATTGCTAGCTCAGCATTAGCCTATAGCCTTCTTCATCCAAAATTAGAGTAAAATAAAAAAGTGCCGTGGCTTCTTAGGGCTACAAGGAATAACTTCGGGTCACTCCTGTTACTGACTTAGGATCTTTACAAAATACTGTTGTGTTTTGCTGGGCGGTGTCAAATCTCATGTGCCAGCAGTGCAGCGCCAGCTCAGCGCAGACCTGGCAACTCTGCTGGCTCAGAGATTGTAAACAATGACTACACCAGTCTCACTTTTTTTAAAGGACCAAAACTGACACTTACTGGTTCACAAATGTTGTCAATTCTGTATCTGTACTTCCACCAACACGTGCACTCACTCTGTGACTAACATCTGTATAAGCATATGTCTAACGGCAATGCTAAGCCATGCTCAATTCCACTTGCATGGGGCTCAATGGGACGGAGGCAGGCTTAGCAAAAGAAAAGCAGATGTATTGTCCACATTATATTACAGTACAGGGTAAGAATATCACTTGGACAGATTTCTAAAAAAATCATACATTGTTCCTGAATGGGGGAAAGTGCAGCTTTAACATTAAGTTGATTTGGTTCTTATATTTGTGTATTAAATGTTAAATTACTTCAAATGTAACTGCACTTACATAAGTAGCAACAATCCTTTCTGTCCGCTTCATGTGTCTCCGTATTTCACATTCGTTGGGCTGAAGAACAGTGATGCCCTCATCAGAAAACACATAGAACATGTTCCCCACACTCAGCCCTGGAAGATCATACAGGAAGCCAGAGAAAAATGTCAAAAAAAGGAATGCTGCTCTAGAAAGAACAAAAACAAATTGAAAATGGCACCAAATGCCACTCTGGTCTTATCCAGTGTTTGTGATGGACATTTCAATTTCAGTCCCTGCTAGAGGGGGCATGCCAAGTCTCCCGTTAGCAAGCTCTCATGTTAGCGAGGATGGGCAGTGTGTGGCTGCCAGAAGCTTTGACAACACCAACAAAGGACCCTGTCAACATGTCCACAGCTTACTGTAACAAGTGGATTCAAATCCTTTTGGTGCTTCAGTCTGTCTGTTGCAAACAGCGACATGAATAGAGACAAGCAATGGTTTTGCATCAACATCTAGAACACTCACACACATATAATGCCTGTTAATGATCTGTCATGGTTTGTTTTTGCAAAGCATTGAGTGTGAGCATTGGTCAGCAGCCTGCACCTTAGAAATGACACTAAAGCATGTAAACACTGCATCATTTATGCACAGATTTAAGAGCCTACACCACCTGTTTTAGTGCCTTTAAATGCCAACAAATAATCCAGAGGCTTTCATTGTTTCTTCTATTACCTTGGCTTGTTTAATACTGTCTAAAACCAACTGTGGTGATCATTTATCAGAGGGAGATTACATTTCTATCGTCCTCTAAATTGCTTTGGGTTTCTGGAGCTGTAGTAAAACTGTTCTTGCAGGAAAAAATATTTATAGTATAAAGAGGAAAAAAGCACAAGCTCGCCTCAAACTGGATAAGAGCAATGTGACTCTTCCACTGGCTTGCTGTGTTGATGTTTTATTTCCACAGATAACATAAACCTGGAGGAGTCCTGCTGTGTGGTAGAGTTGCTAATGCAACTCTAGTTAGCTTCTACTAATGGTGACGTACTCTGCTGTTTGGTAAAACAACAGCCTGGGTCAAGATGGGTGAATCCATGATTGTTAAGTGACAGTGTGATGTCACACTGTCAGGCTTTTCAAATCCTAGTGTTTCACCATCTATTTTCTATAAGAAGCTAATGCAGGAGATATGTGTAGGAGACTATTTTCATGTTCACCCTGCAAGAAAAACTCAGTGTGACCAATTTTAACCAGAAATAATAAGAAAAAATGGTTTTTCTGTGTTCCTAGCAACAATTTTGAAGTTCTTGGGAACAGAATACATCTGTATAGAGTATTTCCATTTGATCATCCTCAAACCCACAAAATGCTCATTGTGATTACAAAATTATAACAAAATAAAAGCTTTTTAATAACAAGTATTACCCTCTTCTCTCCAAAGGATGTTTGCAACTGCAGTGTCAGTCATGGAGCAGCAGAGGGGGAAAAAATCAGAGACAAAGTCAAGAAAGAGTGTTTCTTTAAGTTAACACACATGTTATAGTTACAGCATTTTCCTCACTGGTCCTGACAAGCTTATACTTCCTTCTAAATCGAGATATTCCTATCTGGAGGCAAGGCAGGGTATTAATTTTTCTGTGTAATTAAATTTAAATCTTTGTAGGCAATGATCATTATTGCCTCCAAAGTGATGCAATCCTCTGAAAGACCCCACATCAAAGGAGAACTAACATCTGTTCTTCTATTGAACTAAAGTTTGCATTTCGGTGATATCACAACAGAAAATGACATATAACCTTTATAGAACTCAACATTAAACAGATGCCAAAAGCTCAAATTTAAGCCTCATAAAGCAAATGAGACCCATGCCATCCTTTAGTGCTGCAAAGAGATGAAATATAACAAATATAAAAAGTTGATCATTTAGGAAACATTTTTCATTACAAACCTTTTGACAAATCTATAGAATAATCTCTGAGACAGATTTATTTTGTGCTCTAACAAAATAAACAACTTACGGGTCTTTTTAGCTGAATCTTCGACGAAGAGAGAGGAGATGTCTTCGTCCACTCCCACATCATTCTTGGCGATACAGGTGTAAGCCCCAGTGTCCTCATACCGGACACTTGATATGAAGAGCTCGCTACCATTCGCTGCAAAGACATGTGCAGAATGTGGTTAAAGGAGTTATACACTCATTTTTTATGTATCTATCTATATCTATTTATATCTATGTCTGTATATATATATATATATATATATATATATATATATATATATATATATATATATATATATATATATATATATATATATATATATATATATATACGCCCCAGGGCAGCTGTGGCTACATCGTAGCTCATCACCATCAGTTTGTGAATATGTGTGTGAATGGATGAATGATGCACTGTAGTGTAAAGCGTTTTGCAGTCCTTACTCTGAGAGGCGCTATACAAGTGCAGGTCATTTATCATTTATCAGACAGACAGACAGACAGACAGACAGACAGACAGACAGACAGACAGACAGACAGACAGACAGACAGACAGACAGACAGACAGACAGACAGACAGACAGACAGACAGATAGATAGATAGATAGATAGATAGATAGATAGATAGATAGATAGATAGATAGATAGATAGATAGATAGATGATAGATGTATACACACATATACACATGCTTTTCAAGGTCTGCATTAGCAGTTGCTCTCCATGGTGACAAGTTTAAGAAAAAAGGTCATGATCAAAGGTGATCTCTCAGATTTGTACCCCCACCACCCCTGCTCAGTGATGCCCTGTACAGCAGCACTCTGATCCTTCTTGTGGCACAACATGGATCACAGGAGCCACAGCAGAGCTCTCACAAGTCGTGTTGTTTAAAAACAACATTAAAGGCAGCTTTTGTTTCCCACCACTTCCTTATATGGTAAACAGTAACAACACTGGTTCCTGAAAAGTGAAATATTCCTTCATGTTCCATGTGCTCCATCTGTTTGTGCTCACATTTGAGGTTTTTGTACTGCAGCACTCATTAGAAATAAAGGTGAATTCCCTTTTTACAGTAATGGTTATTCCAACCATCTAATTAATACCTGCTGAGTTGGAAATTCACATTGCTGAACTCATTTTAGGATTTGGATAGTAAATTTCTTATCAATGGATTAGCGTGTAATTATTTTAAGTGAAAACTGCTCTAAATGTTTTTAATGCAGTGAGGAACCATTCATAATTACACTCTGATGATTTAAAATGAAGGAATATGATTAATGTTTCACTTAGTGTAGTACATTGATCCTACTGTGCCGTAACATTTATTCCTGCAAGAGTTAAAAATCAGCAAATCCTTTTTTCCTGATATTTTAAAGTTTCTTTTTGCTCAATTTCTATAACATGTCATTCAGTTAACAGGTTTTTCAACTTGGCTTAGCCTCAGAAAGGAAGAATATGTAAAATAAAGATAATCACATGTGACAGTGTAAATGCAGAACTTTATTTCATGACTTGACTCAGTTTTTATTCTGCCACAAGATTTTATTAAAGTAATTGTTTTCTTATACTTGGCAGAATTATCTAACATTAGGCCAAAAAAAAGAAAAAAATGTTCTGCAGTAGAAATTGTTTGTCACCCTTATTAGACAGTAGCTTCTCATTTGTAAACTACCCACGTTAGGCACATTGTGTATTCATAGAAAACAATCTTTTGTTCAAGTAAGGTGAAATTGTCTGTTTGCATCAAGAAAACACAATTAAGGACATTGATTAAACTAAAATTAGATTTTGAACTTTTCGATTAGTCGAAACCACTCAAAACGAAACCGTATGAAGAATTAATTTCATTACAAGTTCAGGTATTATTTTAATAAAATACCTCAGTGCAACACATTCTCATAGCCGAAGTGTCAAAAAATGACGATGGGTGACCAAGCGTTGTTTTCCGACGCCCGCGGTAAAACGCACATTTAACCAACATTTAACACCTAAAATCTTGCTATTTAACAGCCCCCCCCCGACATCCTAACCTTAACCCAGTTTTTCATTCTAAACTTCCTGTCAACCATGCTGGTGAGGGACGGTTCTAATAGAAACACATTTTTACATGTGCAAGAGGGTTAAGATTCGGATGGGGGTGAGGGGAAGGTCACAATTCGGTGAAATTGCCATTTTACCGCAGCAGTCGGAAATTGATGCTCTGGGGCTCCCAACGCGTCGGAAACAAACACTTGGTCACCCATAATCATTTTTCGATGCTTCTAGTGTGAGAATGTGTTGCTCAGTGAGATCCCACTGGGAAAATTTGGGATGTGTAATCTTATTGAATGGTAAACAGCCTGCATGTATTTAGTTCCTTCTAGGGTTCTTTACAACTGATCAGTCAATCACCTATGCATACACATTCACACGTTGGGGATCATGGGTTACATTGTGGCCACAGCTACCCTGGGGCGCACTGGCGCTGTTGGTGCCTTCGACCACCACCAGTGAGTCTTGAGCGAGGACACGACTGTGACAGGCTGAGTGGGGCATGAACCTGCAACCCTCTGGTTACAAGGCGGGAACCTAACTCCTCTGCCACTCTTGCCCACAATCTTAGTGGATGATTTCCTGTGGAAACAAATGCAACTTGCTGCTGTAATCAAAGCTGAAAATGCTCCAGCCAAGAATTAAAGTGTTGCAGTTTTATCTGAAATTCAATTCATTCTCTGACAGGTGTAAACAATTTCTTTTTATGTCCACGCTGTTATCTTTTTACTTGACTATTGGCTGTCAGAACTCAGACATTCTTTAGATCAGAGACATGTCAGGACTGAAACACTTAGCTTTACTTTAGGTGGAGCTTTTGTTTATTAATTTTTTTTTAAAGGAGTGACCTACTCATTTAATCAACAGATTTGCAGTGGTCTCTATAAGGAATTAATGCCTTGCAGGCAGTACTCAGGGCCCAAAAAAGCTCACAAACCCATGGCTCAGCAGGCCAAGTCTGCCACAGCTGAGCTTCAGACGACAACATTTGGAGCCTTATTTCCTGATACTTGGACGTCTTGCCCAGACTCTACTAACTTGCAACGTCGATGTTTTATCTCCACAAATAACACAAGCCTAAAGGACTTCTGCTGTGAAGTGAACTTGCCAATGCTAACGGTTAGCTTAAACTAGTCGAGACGTTCGCTGCCGATTCCCGGACTTTAGAACAATAACAGCCTTCCCCATCGTGAGTCAAGATTAGTGAGTCCATGAAGGCTAATTCACGGTGTGACATGTGTGGATTTTTATTGATTATTTTCTATCAGAAGCCAATGCAGCAGATAAATATAGACCATTTTCATGTTCAGCCTGCATGAAAAACTCAAGAGTGACTGATTCTAATCAGAAAAAACATGAAAAAAATGTGTTTTAGTCACTCACGCCTTTAAAAAAAACTAAACTCAGAAGTGTCTCTTTTGGTTTTTCTTAGCTTCTGCATGTCATTTGGGACCATAACTATGGTGATTAATCCCAAACACATCCATCAATACAGCCAGACTCATTACACACAACTGAAGGACAGAGTTCTATAGTAAAGTCTAAATGATTTGTCTGGTTGGATTATTGGTTTCTATCTGGGTACCAGAAAACTTAAATTTCCTCCAAAACTGAAGGTTCTGAACATTCTGCATTATTTTAATGTATTTTTCTGCTGAAACGTCTCCACACCTCCATTTCCTGAGACTGCCCTGAAACTGTTGAGAGCCCCCCTGAGGGGACTTGTCTCACACTTTGAACACCTCAGGTTCCGACTACAGAAATCTACAGTCAACATTTGAACACACCTCTATAATACAATCTCTAAGAGATTTGTGTAAAATGAAATGGAGCTACATCACCTCCGGGCTTTGATCACTCCCACGGTGAGAGAGTACAAATCAGGAATACTTTATCTTATTCTCTGAATATTTAATTGTATGTAGGCCTGCTGATGCTCCTCCTGAGTTCGTAAATCGGAAAGCATGGCCGTTGCAGTGTTTATGTGCCCTTGAACCTTGCAGAAACTCCCCAGTTTGATTGTTTATGGGTTGATAGCTCGCTATTACCAAAGGTAATGATCCACTCGCTGCAAATAAACTCTACTTAATGAGACTTAGGCAATAAAAGGAAAAGTAGGCTCCATTATCCCTGATTAAATACATCTAGTAAAAATATTTTACATTTGATAATTAGGTGACGTCTGCTCCCTTGATCTCTGCTTCGTTTAATTTTAGGTATGCTTACATCAGCAGAGCGAGAAAAACACATTTGAAGAGAGCAGTCCTGCTTTTGTTCATTCCCAGTGAAAAGCACAACATGCATCTGCTGAAAAAGTGAGACATCAATAATAAAACAAGACTTCGATCGAGCCCCACCTTGGTGTTACCATTGTTCTTACATCTCACAGACAGTTTGGTTTGTATAGACTTGTGCTCACACCCTGCAGTCCTGCTGGTATGTAGCGCTGTGTTTTACAAAAAATCAACTATTGGCTAAAACACATTCTGCTGATGGCACATCCTGAAATAATCAACCCCCCCTCACCTATGAGAGAAAGCTGGGTGGAGGAGCTTAGCTGCAGGTCCATGCCATTCTTCAGCCAGAGGAGTTTTGGATTCGGAATGCTGTCGGCATAGCAGTGGAGACTGGCAGATACACCCGGCTCCTGGGCCTGCGTTTCCGGGTAAACCAGGATCACCGGAGGGACTGGACACAAAAGAAAATGCATGAACAGGGACTGAGGAGAGGGACGAGGGAAGACATAATTGTCTACCGCTTCACTGTGGGTCGTAACTCCTGAGAGGGGGATAAAAAACAAACACCCACACTCACAGCAGGCTCAGGGATGTCACACTACACTGTAAAATACATTCTCATATAACAAGGATCCGTGAGCTCTGGGATGGGCATCATTACGGCCCTGGTCCTGCGATAAAGCCTGCTGGACGCAGTGGCATTCTCTGAGTGGAAGACTATGATTAAATGAAGAGGCAAATCACACATGAGGGAAAGGTTTACAAACAGGTTAAATTAAAGAAAACAAAATCTCTACTTCTATGCGTTCAGAAATGTTTTATCCTTTAGTTTGAGGAAATGAGCAGCCAGGCTCTTATATTTGCTCCGTCTGTATGAAGACGATCCATCAGGATGTTATTAGTAGCTGGTCATGGGTTTCTGGCCTAATTGGGAGGAGAAGGTGAAGACTGAGTTTAATTATAAACCCAAAGTCGTTTTACTGAATTATTCTTAATAATTTTATTCTATATGTTTCAACGCGGGCACTGACATGCCATTTCCATCATCCTCCTTTTTGCAGTGTAATGACAAACAAACCTTTTTTAGCCCACAGGTGATGTTTATCTTAAATTGAACTTCATCAACTTTGTATCTTACATGTGCCTAAGGTCTGTGTTGCCATGGTTACGTAATAAACATCATCACGTTGCACAGCATCACCTGGGTCTGGATCCAGACCGGAGTCGGACTTTGGAGACAGGTTTGGTAGAAACTTGGTACTTGTCATTTTGAACTGATCAAGCTTCTTGTGCAAGAAGCAAAACATCTTCAACAGGATAAAGAAGTCCATTTGCCTTTTAAAACTTTAACAGGACAATGACTTGAAGTACTTTCAAATTCAAGTTCTTCTCATTCCACAGAAACATATTTACCACGATGGGTGTCAATAGTTCTTTGAGGAAATAAGCACAACGCAATAAAAGCAAACTAAAAGTTAAACTGTTAGAACCACTGAAGCATCAGCTATGTCATTACCGATGCCCTGCCATGTTTCTTTCCTTTCGTTTAAGATTTAAATGGTGATGTTTCTGCTGTCATGGCAGTCGTATATTTCATTCAATCATCACCTTGTATTTTCTTTATTTTTCATGTTTATTTTGCATTTATTTATCTAACAGCACCAGCATGACACTTGAGTTTAAACACATCATAGTTAGTACTTCACATCAACTCTGGCTGCACAGTCAAAGCAGAAAATACTTTGTCATTATCCTCTAGAGCCCATATTGCTTTAATAGCAAACCAGAATGCAAACACCCACTTAGTAAAATGTGGCACTTGGCTCCACTCCGTTCTAGCTTATCTCACCTCCTCCTGTCTTTTTAGAAATACCTTGAATACCCAAAACAAACATTTGGTAATTACCCTCTACAGATAACCTCCTCCCTGGGTGTATTTTTTCTGTTTGGATGACTCCCTCTGTATCACTCCCACTCCTTTCTTAGTTTAGTCTGAAACGCAGCATTATTTCTTTTCAATTAGTGGCTCAGAAAAGCCACACAATCTTTGCTTAATTGAAAGAGAATCAACTAAGTGTTGGTTTCCTGTTACTGGTGTAGTGGATTTAAAATTCTTCCACTATGATTTTTTTCAGTAAGTTTCCCAGTTAGGACGGTCACATAATTATAAGCTAACATAGGCAGCTAGCACAAGTTACCCCAGCTTTCCACTGGATGTGTAAGCATGGAGCATAATGTGCAATTACTGGCGGCCATTATAGTTGATGAGGTCCATTTCCACCAGCGGTGCATCTTAGATCGTAGTGTTGTATCGCTCTGCTAAATGTACGCTTCAGGAATTCGAATTGGGCCGGACAGGAAGTCAAACATCTGGCAATTTTCAAAATAAAAGGCAAATGCAGATTTCCTGTAGTTTAACTTGTAAATGAATGGCTGAGGTAAAAAGAACAGAAAACAACCCAGAGACATTTTGTTGACATGCATCCTTCTTTCTTTTTGCCTGTCATCGCATGAACTGGCAAAACCATGCATGATCATGCAATTCAAGGATTTTGTGACCTTGCAGGACCTGCTTCAACTTCTTTGCTGCTGATTCCTCTCTACAAGACCTCCAGTCTCTGGGAGAACTCATCTATTATGTTACACGCCGCTTACCCATCCAGAGGAAAGCCCGATTAAATCAGATACTCTCTTCAATTATGAAAAATTCTCCTTAGTTTATATCTACTAATTTATCCACTGCTGAAGAATGAGTTCAAAAGGTGTTTTTTACTCCTTGACATGTGTTTTGCTTCTTAAAAACACAAAACAAATATTTACTATTGCTCAATAACAAATGAAAATCCCTTTTAGGATGTGATTTTAATCTTATCGACGATGACAAACTCAAAGAACGATTCTCACTGGAGCAGCTCAGTCCACAGCAAACGGCGCTCTGGCATTATCCCTCGTGTGAGGCATTTCAGCTGAACACCATCCTTTATGGAAGGGAATCGAATCTAAAACTTCTGCAGTACTGCTCAGCAGGGACTCGTGTGCACAAATGTTCAACTTTCCACAAATACAGAAGACAGCAACTCTATTTATGGCACAGACTGAAGGGGAGTTGATGCATCTTGTAAAACCTGTGGCTCACCATAGTTCATCATGACCCTGGCTGTATTTTAGAGCTCCACTGACAAGTTGCAAAGTAGATTTGGACTTGAAAATTTTTGAGTATTGACAAAACCATTCATGTTGTGTTTCATGGGGAAAATACCTTCTTTTGTAGGAATATGTTTTCATATCTATGTGTCATGAATGTTGATTAACTTAACTGAAGACATTAAACTAACTCATGTTGAAACGTTTCTTCCTTTTGCATCAAATAAATAATACATAATAAATAATTGTGGTATTTTAGTGCTCCAACCCTCCTGATTCATATTAAACTAACATTTGTTGTTGTAGTTTAAGCAATATGAAGATTTCTACAGTAAAATAATCACAAAACTGTAATGTCTCAGTCATGTTGGAAGGAAGGTTACAATACAACAGACGTCAGGTTTCTCCCCCCCAAAAAAGCTGAAGAGGGATGTATTCACTGTTTACAATGTGTGAGCCCAAAGTGTTTCTGAGTCTGCAAACCCACTCTGCAGCACCACATTTGTGATTCAACACCAGCAGGCAAAAAGCTCCAGAGTTGTTTAAAGAAGATCCTTTTCTTTCTTTATTCTTTCAAAGCCAGTAAACACGAGTGACTCGGTTATTTCTTGTGCCCCTAAGAAGCCACGGCTACTCTAACATCAAGTGAAGCTGGCTTGAGGCTAACATTGAGCTAATAATGCTAATGGTGAATTAAATGTAAATAGCTCTGAAAATATCTCAATCTACTTTTTTAAATGCCAACAACTCGATATTACAGTGTAGTGTATGTGTGAAGTGAAGCCCAGAGCACATATTCTGAGAAGCGCCACGAAGTGGATTGCTCATGAATTCCGTGCACTGTCCGCTCCTCCTCTGTTCACAACAGGCGAGAATTTCCGATGAGAGCTTCTACTCACGCCTACTGTTCTCTAAACCCCCCTACCCCACCCCTGTGCCATTGCTGTGTGTGTGCATCCAGTTTGCCCCATTGTTGATATCGAAACTGCGCTGATCCTGCTCCTGAATTTGTTTGTATTCACATTTATTAAATCCATATTTCGCCGTAAAAACGAGGTCTGCTCTGTGGAAGGGGGCGGACTTTGCAGCTCCTTCTCCAGATTTAAAGAGACAGTACCAAAACACAGCTCATTCTCAAGAGTCTCCTCAGAACAGGGCTAGATGAGGGGTCTGTAGAGCAATAATAATGAGGAAATCACACCAAAGAACTGCAGTTCCACTGCAGTTAGACCTCAACTGAATGATTTAGATGTAAAAATGATATTATAATTCCTACAAATTGCACCTTTCAGAAAAATTCTCATTCTCTATGTGCTCCGTATTGCACAAGATGATTGCTTAAAACTGTTGGAGTGCAAAACCCTTGCATGAAAGATCGTTGGGGATTATTTTAAGGCAAAAGAAGAAATATAGAGCTGCAGAAACTTTTTTTGTTGTTTTATTGGGGGGGTAAAAAAAAAGAAAGGAGCCACTACTGACCATTCACCTGCAGCACATGTGTTTGATAGAGGTCTTCATAGCCGTAGGCATGGCAGCTGTAGTTCCCCATGTGTATCGTTGTCACCTTGGTGATGTACAAGGAGCCATCATCCCCAAAGTCCTGTAATATAGGAAAGAGATAGGAGAGGATTTTTTTTTATTATTATAAAAGAGGAGCAAGTAGATGGGAAAAGAAGGACACGGGTGCAGGAGTGAGAATGGTGGTAAATAATTGGGAGCTGGAAGCATCCACAGGGAGCAAGAACAAGATGAGGGTAGCTTGATATAATATGTAAGGATGCTTGGAAAGAGCAGGAAGAGGAGGCTCACAACAGCAGGGAATGACGGGATGAGACAAAAGAGAAAAAGAGTGATGGGAGAAGGAAGAGAAACCATGAATCAACGGTTTCCCTGTAGAGCTGAAGCAGGCATTTGGGAGTTTGATCCCTCTCCCTCCCCTCATCACGCTGCCTCAGCCTGATAAATGGCAAGGGTTAAAAATATAAAGCCCATTAGGCTGATGAATGGAGCCGGTGTTGTTGGTGCAGCATGAGGCAATCACCGGGGAGTTCCAGACCCAACTTAGGGTGGATTAAGGCATTAAATATTTGCTGTCCCACCAAGTGGTCGAGCACATGCCGTGATGCAGCACTGTCATGATTCTGAAAGCAAATGTCTTAAAGCTGCAAACTATTTCTTTACAACTCCAGAATATAACGTGACCTAACAGGGAGATGCTTTACGACGAGAAAAGGACTTTTCTCATTGGGTGGATGATGAGCGCTTAGCTAAAATCCAGAATTTATAATTAACATAAGAGGTCCGCCATGGCGGCCAGAGACAATTAAAATGAATGAGCCGTTTGGGTTATGACTTTAATACGGCAGTAAAATGAGACAGTTACAAGTAAAGCATGAGATCTGACATATGGGCCGCTCTGAGATGGACACTGCCGCTGCGCAGAGGTCAAGACTGCTAACGGTTATTTTTACCCTAAAGGGAAAAAGTGGAGTAATAATTTTGAATTTAACACTGTTAATTTCATGTTTTATAATATTTTATGTGTAAATTGCTCTTTTGATGCAGACAACCTCTGGTTTTTAATATTAACATTTTTATTTATTTTTAACATTAAACAGGTTTAAAATATTGAGTTGAGCCAGTTGAGGTGACTCGGGCATCTGATTAGGATGCTCATCCAACCGGGAGGAGACCTGAAGGGAGACAAGTTGGAGGGATTCTCGCCTGGCCAGGGAACACCTTGAGATTCCCACGGAAGAACTGGCCCAAGTGGCTGGGGAGAGGGAAGTCTGGGTCTCTCAACTTAGGCTGTTGCCCTTGCAACCCGACTCCAGCAAAGCGGAAGAAGATGGATGGATGGATGTTTAAGGTAAATCCGTTTTGTATGTCTCAGTTTATTAAGAAACTGGATAGAATTCAGTTAATTTCCCAAAACATTACATATCTCACTCAGTTTTAGTTCACACATTTCCAGCAAACTGAGTTACATATTCACAAGTTTCACTTTTGTAAAATATCAAAATATTTGGAGGCTAAAAGGAAAGAAAAGAGGAAAAATACAGAAATAGGCCAGAAAAAAGCAGCACAGTGAAGTAGAATGTGAGCAAAAAGGAAGAGGACTCTTAAAGAGTCTCTCAGGTGTGTGGGTTGTTTGCTGAAATGCAGGAAAACCACGGTTAAATAAAACTTCAAGGGTCTTATTTATAAAATATTGTGTAGAGTCCTTACTAAAACCGTACTTTAGCTCAGCAAAGAAATTTACTGACGCCAAGTAGGTTTGTTCAATTCAATTCAAGTTTATTTATATAGCGCCAAATCACAACAATTTGTTTGCGACCTATAAAACATGGAGTACGCACAGCTTCACGCAATCTCCGCTTTATAAATCAGAGACTAATGAGAAAGGTTCTCAGCCGTTTCTGGATCACATCCCGCACTCAGCACGCCCACTTTCTGCCATAAATGGTCAGCGCAACGTGCCTTGCGGATCTCATGCATATACATAAACTGGCTTGTTGCAGCATTTCGATCATGGCCGCAGATCAAGGAAGCGCTATTTGTCAAGCATAAATTGAGGTACTTGTGGGTGAGGTGGAGAAATGAAAGGAAGTGCTTTTGCAAAACGAATAAGAGAAAATCCACAGAGTGGCACAGCGTTGCTGAAGCCATCAATGCTGTGAGTTCTGCAGAGAGATCTGCAGCGGATATTAAAAAAATGGTCCGATCTGGATTCGATCTACAGACTCCCAGATGAGAGTAACACTCGCTAACCAGTCAGCCAAATGGACATCCCTTTGGTCAAGTAGCCAGGGCACATGATCAATCGGGTCACAGTGACAGGACGCTCACACTGTCACAATCTGCCCCCCTGCTGATATTCTACATTCCATATTCTGCGCTTCAGGCTGTATGTGTGTGTGTGTGTGTGTGCATGTGGGGGGGCTTGCTCTGTGTGCGCACGAAGCGGTCTAAGTGATAATGCTGCTGGAATTCATGATTTTATCCTCCTCAGCAGCAGCACTGCAGGTGCTCTCCATGTCCAAAATGTGCGTAAGCCATGTCGTTAGTCAACTTAAAGTTGCGCACATTTTCCCGCTATGTTTTCTTTTATAAATCCCAAAGTTTGCGTGGAAACTGCTAACGCAGCTCTCCAACCCCGTTTTGTGCGTAAGCAAGCTTGATAAACGAGACCCCTGGTCAGTTCTAGAGAAGGAAACAATGCTGAAAATGTTTTGACAGGAAATAAATGTCCCTCCTCTCGTCTGACCCCATCATCTCTGTTAGACACGGTGTTTAAAGTCAACTTGTAACCAAACACCGGAAACGGAGGTACAACAATGTTAAATAAGGGATTAAATACAACAGTTTTGTGTCCAATAAGGTTAAAACCCGTTTAGGAGTCTCATGTAACACCTTTGATTGACTAAATACCAGCATGATTAATGGAACGTAAATCAAATATCTCATTAACATTTATATCTAACTTTTGTTTTGTAATGGGAAATTTATATGCGGTTAAATAACTTCAGTCAACATGTTGGTGTGATTAGTTATCCTCATTGATGACTAATAGATGCGGGCAGCACATTTAATTTTCACCCATCCTTATGAGGCACAAAACCAAGAATCAATATCGGACGTTCATTTTTAGCTCCTTAGAAACACTTTCATTTATTTGTCTTGTTACTTAATGATTTATTTTCATAATTTCCTTTGGAGTTTTGACACTTTTATTCACAAGACACTACTGTTTATACTCCAAACTGGCCAATCTGACACAAAAAAAACACAGAATATCTGATATTTACATCCTTAAACAGCAAAAATATAGCACTTTTTTGCCATTATTTTAGAAATGTAGGTTTTATTCTTTGATTTGACAGCATGAAGCTGGCGCTCAGATCAGTAAGCTCTGCAAAAATCCATTACATATGTTCCAGAGCTCAGGGGGCCTGAGCGGTCACTAGTTTCCATTCGGTTTTGACCTCGGATCTCGGCATCGTTTGTCTGCTCATCACCACAGCTGACCAACATGCAGCTCATTAACACGCAATTAGTGAACTGTGATGTAATGGTGAAAAAAGGGAAGGGTGACCCCAATGACATCACCTGTGCAGATGTGTCTGAACAGTTGCATGGCTCCAGGGTTCATTAAGCTCTGAGTTTATGGGAACGTGTTGTGACTACATTCTCAAACTGATTTGTGAATAACAGAGATTTTGTAAGATTATTTGTAAAGCTCTCGTTGACTTGTTATTTCAATACATTTGCTGTGGTATAAATGGATGCCTTGTGAATCACTTTCAATGGAAAAACAACTCTCACGCTCCTGTTTCAGGAAGTGAAGGTTACTCCGTGGAGTGAGGGATAGAAAAGGGCAGGATATTCATTATTATTTCCTGATACTCCAACATCGTGCCTCTGATTGGCTAACAGCAACATGACTCATCCTCGGCCTCCAATTGCTTTGCAATGTTGTTTCTTCTCCACAAATAACAAAAGGGTGAAGGAATTCTGCCATGTTGTGGAGTTGCTAATGCAAAAGTTGGCGTCTACTAGCCAAGCCATGCTCTGCTCTCTCCTGGATGCTAAACCACCACCAACACAACTCGTCACAAGTCAAAATGGGTGAGTCCATGATTGTTAATTTTCAGTGTGACATAGATCTGTGAGGCTTTTCTAGGCCACGTGTTTCTCCATTTATTTTCTATCGGTGGCTAATGGAGGAAATGAGGTAGAGGACAATAGGAGCAAGTATCTGCAGACTAAAACAATTAAAAAATTCACATGAGAAGTAATAACAGAAATTCCTGGAGCTTCTATCAACTCCCAGCTGAAATACACATTTTAAATGTGAAAAAGGTTATTAATAGAGTGATGTTGAATTATATTTGAAACAGCCTCCCCACGGTGCCCCCTTGCTGCTAAAATCGGCCAACTATTAATTAGGCTGACAAGTCTGATTTAAAATAGAGGGTTTTATGCAACATCACAATTAATAGCATGTGTTTTATGAGTCAGTGAGAATATTCTGCAGCACAGTCTGTAATAATGGTAATATTTTACATTGTAGTTCAGCTCTCAGGTATGTGATCAGTAGAAAAACAGCTTCTGGTGTGGCTGGGACTTAAAGCAGAGGTTCATAGCCGGCTCAGGACACAACCCACAAAATGACACTGTGGGTCTTTTTATGTTACATTACTCTACCTGTAATATAGCTATCGGGAGTTTTTTTTTTGGCTCTTTTTTCTTTATTTTCTTAACCAAATCCAAATCACCCAGGGGTAGGACAAGAAGTAAAGTAAAATTGGTCAAGCTAAAGGAATATAGAGGTTTCCACAATCAAGTATCACTGTCATCACCTCAGATCAGCATCAACAGCAATGTACACTCACATTTATGTCCTCCAGGTCCAGGAAGTTTAATATAATGCCATTCCTCTTCCAGATGATTGGTGGACGCAGTGTCCCCTGGATGGCACAGGTGAGGACCGCACTGAGGCCCACTGTTACTACCGAGAGGCTGATTCGCTGATCCTCTGCAAGGCTCAGCTGGATGACTTCTGCAGGAGGAGAGAGGCGAGTGATTAGTGGCTGATGGAGTAAAGGGTTGACGGGGGGGAAAAAGGGAGAAATATGGAGAAAGGGGGATTTTCAAAAGGCACAGTTGAAAATTACAGAAGTGAATGAGTGTGCTGATGTGGCCAAGCTTAATACATTTCTAAGTGTCCATGCCATTACTCCTGGCCGGGCGAGGACCAACAGCTGTCCAGGGGTGAAGGATTTCAAGTGTGAGAAAAACATCTCATGTCAGAAGACACACAGCTAGCCAAATATCATTCCTCCTATTAAGTGGAATATATGCTGATTCAGTTAATTTCACATTTTTTGCTGGTTTCTGTTGGTTGTTCAGGGTTAGGGTTAGGGTTAGAAATCTACCCACTGATCACAAAGATAGACACATTTAACAGAAATCTAATAACATGTAGTAGTTGTTTTTGTAGAAACGCACTAGGTTCTGAAAGGGTCAAACATATTTATGGTGTTTCCCATTGAAAATAAGCTTTAAGAGCCGTTCCCCTTAACATTAATAGTCTGACAGAACCAGAACCGAACACCTCCAGCCTGGTTCACACAGCTGTACTACAGATATTTGTGTTGATTTTTGACCAACTTCTCCACTTCTGATAATCAAAAGGATGCACATGATTATCTAACAGTTCTAAAGACAATCTTACCAGATAATCTTACCATGTGTGGTGTGTTTAGAGCACTTGGGCTCGCTTCATTCATAAAACCAGGCTTTCAAACATGTTGGATTGTCTTTGTCTGATTTTTGGAGAAAGAAAAAAAAGATTGCTGTCTTTTATATTTTTTGTGTCGCCAATCAGAAAGTGAGGTGGCAGAAGTGTGCCCCTCGCTCCACCTCTGCCATTTATTTATTTAAATTCTATTTCTAAGTTACATTTTATCTTGCCAGATTTCCCGTCTGAGCAGTGATTAAAAGTGGTTTGTGTGTAATGTGTGTTTAGCACGCTGTACAACTAAACCTGTTACATGTGTAATGTTATTAAAATCACCCCATGTGTGACGTCTCGCATGCTTTGAGAAATGATTCTGTGTGAACCGGACTTCAGCTGGCTTAGACACTTTATTAGGTCATACAAAGCCCCAAATTATGCATATTTAAAATAAATCTTTTAATTTGGATTTTGTCCATATTTTGTGGTACACAACATTCTGACATTTGACACATTAAAACTCACTTTACTTATTAGCATGTATGTAAAATAATAATAACTGTCCTTTCTACAGTTTTATCTAGTTTGTAAAACTGCCAATACAATTTTAAAGTCTGCTTCACCTGAGCCACTAAATAATAAACTCACTGGATCTCCCGGTACAAGTTTCTCATGTCTTGCATCCCTTTATTCAACATTTGCCTCCACTTCTTCAACACAAGGTTTCATAAGCTACAGCATGACAAGAAGCAAATCCTTATTGACCTGGGGCTGAGCAGCAGTGATAAGGCCGGTTTAACAACACATGCTCATTTCAGCATCCACAGGTGAGAGTATTTCACTGTCCAAACAGAGCTGAAGTAGATGGCTGACAGGCTTTGAAATGTTTGTGGGAAGCCTCCTGTCACGATGCAGACTTTGACCAAAGCAGCTGTAAAAGTCCCCAGGATATTAGCTGTCTGTTTCACCTAGCTCTCCTGGTGATGGATATATCCAGACTGACAGCTTGGTCTGCTGGTGATATTTTAGAATGCCTTGGGTACCGTACACAGCCAGGTCCACCAAAGTTATAACTCAGCAGATCAGTACTTTGGGTGGCAGAATAGGCTCTGAGTGCCATGTGACAGATGAGAGATGAAATGCATTGATCTGACACAGCTTGCAGGGGCGGTTTCAGGTGTTACTGTGAATTTCAACTAGACCTCTGCTCCTATTGAACAAACTCATGCACAACAAGAAGCTGGACCAGTGTGGTTTGCCGAGTCAGCAGAAGCCCACTGTTCAGATGAACATCTAAAGTTTGCATTGATTCTTTTTTAAGAAGGACCAAAAAGGCAGCTGTTTAAAAGTCTGCTGGCGAGAAAGACTATAAAGTTCACTCTTCACACAACAGCAACCTCTAACTGATAGTAAAGTGATCAATCTAACATTTTATATGTTGTTACATGAGATTAACCCAATTGACATCAATTGTGATTGTTTTACGGCCGGACAGGACATGGGAAACTTGCAGAATCAAGATGTAAAAGAAAAATCATGTGAAGTTCAGGTGAAGGATGTTAAATAATGCAAAAATGTGGTCAGTTTTCCTACATTTGGAAAAAAAACTGTTAATCTAATTTGCTTGAAGATTAAAGCTGTGTAGACAAGTAGGTGGATTATTGTAATTCCATATATCCTCCCCCATCCATCCAGGAAATAAAGCTTGGGTCCACACCACCTCGGAAACTAGTGAAGCACATTCATAGGCATGCCAACGCCAAAAAGCATTCCTTGGATGTGCAATAACTAGATAGCAGACAATAACTGTCTATAATGCCATTCTTAGCCCGTGGTCTTCTAAATTGAGCAGTAAAAACAAATGAGTGTAAACAGATCACACATGTCAGCATTTATGTCATAGGTCAACACCGCATAGCCCTGGTTATTTATATCCATTTGAGATTTTGCAAATCTCCACCTTGGTTGCAGGTTTTTTAAAGACTCCCTTTTGTGCAGCATTTCTTCATTTTCATATTGATGAAGGGCCAAACTAAAAACCGTCGAAAAAGACAATCGTTTAGTGGGATACCGGCTGATAAAATTAGAGTACAGAGCTTAAGAAAACCCGTTGTTTGTTTTGATTCGGAACTGATATTTCAGTTACACTCTAATATACATCAGACAACAGTTCAGTGTAAAAAACAACAACATTCTCTACATATCCAAATGCAGTGCATTCTATGCTATATATTTGTTTATAGTTAGACCAAAATATTGGACCAATAAAAAAAGCAAGCAGGACTGAATAATCTTTAAAAACAGGGTTATAATGCAGTGATACTCAGGAAAATGAATTTCGGTAAAGGTGGAAATAACAAATTGAAGATCTGAATGAATTTACACATGAGAAAAAGTATTGTTCTTATATCAGTTGAAAACATAAAATTCAATACATTGTTTTGCCACTGACTCAGGTTTAAATTCAGCTTTTTTGGAATTATTACAACATGGATATCTTAGACCAGGGCTTCAAGGGCCAGTATCCAGCAGGTTCTGGTTTTAACTCTGCTTCAACACACCTGATTTCAATCAGCAGGTGATTAACAGGCTACTGCAGAGCCTGATGAGCTGCACAGGTGTTTTAAAGCGTTTATCAGTCCACGGTCTACGCAGAGCTGCCCAATAAGATTCAACTGTACTTGGAAACTTTGGCTTCACTTTAAACTTTTACCATTAAAAGAAAGAAAGGAAGAAATGACTAGCTCTCTACGATAGACTAGTTCTGAAATGAACTCTGGCACCATTAAATTATCCCTGCTGCCGTCCTAATATCCTAAATCTTCCTGCTAATCTTACAGCTGTGAGACCAAAAGACACAGAAAAATTTTCTTCAATTTTTATGATAAGTACTAATAATTTTGTGTTAATCTTTATCTATGAAAATTGGGTTTCCTTTTAACTGAAATCAGACAACTGTGTTTTCCAATCTTTAGAGGAATAAATCCTGCAAATTTATTTTTATAGTTTTTAAAGATGATAATTATAAACATTATTAGTGTATGGATGGGATCACCCCATGTAGGGCTATTATTATTTTGTACGAAACATCATTTATTCACTGGAATATATATAATTTCATTAGTGTGGAGTTGTGTTAATTATTATCTTAGAATGAGCCTACCATGTTGGAATGGAAGCCCATTCCTGCCACTCTGTAAAAAATCAAACTTTATCTAATAATTATGAATTAGCTACCTCATAATGAGACATTATCTCATTATTATGAGATACAAATTATTATTTTTTTTATCAGAGTGGCGGGAATGGGTGTCCATAAATCACTTTTTCAGAATAAACTATAATATTGTTTGCTGAGTCATCTATTCAGTTTTAACCACTACAAGTAACGACATATAGAACCGTGTAACTGTTGAGCTCTTCCTCCAGAATTTGGGGACTTATTGGTTAAACGCAGCAGATTTGCTTTAGAGGACTCATGTGAAGCTCAGCTGTTGTGAGGGAATGCTCAATTTACTACAGCAGCGGGTAAAATACAACAAAAAAATCCAAATTGATAGTTTCCTGCATGGTTGGAATACCTACCAGTGGGTTCCACATTCTAAAAATGTGAGCTACAGTATGAAAATTGAAATAATTTCTAAGAGCTGTTTAGCCCTATTTTTCATGCCTCAAATTTATTTGAAAACTCCTACTGCTTTAGTACATCATTTAAATCCAAACAAGCCACTGAAAGTGTAGAATAAAGCCAGATTGTCTGTGGTTTATTATGAAAATGCTTTATGGCCTTTTCAATATTTGTGCAGATAAGTATTCTTTTTGACACCAAGTATCAGAAATATCCCCTTCGCCTTTAGTTTAATAGACCTAAATCATCTGTTCAAAGCATCAACACTGAATACTGTGAGTACATTTGCTGAAAAGTAAACTGCACTCTCAAGTTATTTTTGGGGACTTTAGGGACGTAAACACTGCAGAAATGGGTTTATTTACACATAAAAGTGTCAAGTGACATCCTTATGATGCATCATATGGAAATACCTGGGCTTTATTTTGCAGCAGCTGAATCTATTTGATTCTAGGTCTATTGGGTTTATTACTTGCACTTGTAGCAACTGCAATTAGAGAAGCACACCACCTCCTCTCTAGTTCTCAGATGACCCAGGCAGATTACAAATCTAAAGGCAGTTCCCGCTCAGCTTTGCTTAGGCTGGGGGAGGTTGCCACAACATTAAGTAGCTAAAGAGTCAAACAGAGTCAGCGGTAGAGTCGTGTTGCTGTTAGCCAATGAGAGGTGAGCTGTCCAAATATCAGAAAACAAC